TTTTTCACCCAAATCGTCACTTAGCATGGTTTTGCACTCACCCCTTCAATTGTTGCAATTTTCGACCCAGTATCACGGGCAGGGGTGGATCCAAGATTTTTCCACAAGGGTTGGCTAGTACTTTGGGGTTGCAGAATCATTGGAGCATGCCCCCAAAATGTTGCAATTTGAGAACTGAAACCTGATTTAAAACTGTTACACTAGAAGTGTGTGACCGGCAATGGATGAGCATGCCATCTGGTGGGTAACCATACCTGAACTCTTTACTTAACCATTTGTCCGCTTTTCAAAATTTTCAGAATTTTTGGTCAGGTGGGAAGCACACTAGTTATGAATTTTGTCAACAACTCTTGTAACCTGGAATACACGTACTTACAGTAATTAAAAAACAATTAAAAAATTATTTGCACCACTTCACTAGTTTTAGTTTTTTGTCATAAAACATCGATCCAGAACAGTTTTGTCCAACACACTAAGGTCTATTACACTGTAATAAGCAAATGACTTTGTACACGTTGTATTAGTGAATATGATTATTGGTCTTTTTCATTAGTTTCCCAATTAGCTTGGAATGGGGTGGAAAGACTGTCTCAGAGACAGTGTATTGGTTCCAGTATGAACATGATCCATCTCTTAATTCCAATGTGTATGATGTTGCAACCAAGCTTGTGCAGAAGCACTTTCCAGGGGAATTTGGCAGTGAGAGGCTGGTGCAGAAAGTAGTAGATATCATTTTACGACAGACAGCAAAGAGAGAAGGAGAGAACAAAGGTTGGTTGCAGTGTGATGTTTTGTGTTAATTCCTTAACCATCGAAAGGATAAGCTAACCTTTCTCCTCATGAAACATGAGACGATAACTGACTACAAACATCTGGTTATGTGTGCACTGAAATACACAGTTAGATATTGAAATGAAAGATCACATTAGATACATGTATTAGTAACATTGTGCATTCTCAGGAGTACTTTGTATATGACAGCTAAAAATCAAATGGAAAAAAGTACCTACACTGTAGGGTTCAATCCCCTAGCCAGGTTTGTTTTTTTGTGTTGTGCTGTGTTCTTGGGCAAGACAAACTCTCACAATGCCTCATTCCACACAAGTGTATTGTACATATTAAGGGTGCATTCCTTTGGGTTGATCTGGATCAGGATCAGTGATCCAAGATCACTTGGATCATGGGGCATCAAAGGAACGGATTAATCCACTTGGGTCATGGATTCATCAGTCCCTTTGATGCACCATGATTGAGTGATCTTGGATCACTGATCCTGATCCAGATCACCCCCAAAGGAATGCACCCTAAGTGCATTCTGGATGATTAAATGCTGGTTGGTAACCCTGCAGTAAACTGGCATCCCACCCAGGAGGGGTGGGGAAGTACAAATACTCCCAGTTACTTCATGCTACAACATTACATGGGATACAATGTACATTGGAAGTGCTATCACTGTAGGTCACTACGCTCAAATGGAGACTACAGGTATCTCTTACCTACTGGTTAAATCATTTTTAGGAGCACGCCCTAACTTTGTTTCTCAAAATGCAAGTGGAGCAAGCAGTGATCAAGACACTAATGCTGTCAGCACCTTCACACCTAGTAAGATAATCCTGACAGGAGAAAAAAAGAAAACGTTACACAGAGAGGAACTAAACTTGAGTGAAACAGAAAGAGTCCTAAAGACCAGGACAGAACACCATGCTGCCATAATGCAGAAGAGAAGGAGCGGCGAAGGAGTTAAGAAAACCGCAGAGAAAGAAGCTAAAGTTCCAAAACAACTGGTACTGTTTGAAACACTCTGTTAAAATCTCAGCCTCACATGCTCTTTTACCCCTTGTTCTACATGTGTAGAGTAGGAGATGGGGTGGCCTTCATGTACATGTAATAGTTATTAGTAGAATTCTACTAGTATACCAATGCAAATGCTGTAATCTGATTGGCTGAGCCATTGAACACTATCAGCCATTAGTGTGCAGTGGCTGGAGGTCATCTAGGAAATGGCAACATGTTTTGCTTTTTCCCAAAGATTTGGAAGAAAATTTTGATGCAAATGGGTAATTAAATTCCTGAGAGGTCTAAACGAAGGACATTTACAGTTTCTTGACTTTTTTTTTAAACAGTTGAAATAATCGAAAGAACTGAAGCGCGCGCACACACAAAATTAAAATTTTAAAAGACAATTCAATCTGAGCGATCTTTTTCAGACGCAAAGTTTAATAAATACGTCAAGAAATAATTGGAAACTGTTATTTGAAGTGAATTTTATGTATTAATTAGTAAGAATTTTACTAAAACAATTAGATTATTCGCTCTCGATTTCTATGAGGTGATAGTTGATTCAGCCTTCAGCCTCATCAACTATCATTTCATAGAAATCTCGAGCTCACGATCCAATTGTTAATTAGCAGGCTGGACTCCAGATCAAGTAGTTTAGGTTTGAGCCCTGGTAGAGATCATTGTGTTGTGTTCTTGGGCAAGACACTTTTAATTAATCTCACAGTACCTCTCTCCACCCAGGTGTACATGTATAAATGGGTACTGGGAAATTTAATGCTGGTTGGTAACCCTGAGATGGACTACTGCCCCATGCATGGCTGTATAGACCACTTGATGTGACACATACTTAGTCATTTAAAAACACCTTCCTTCCTTACATTGTATACATGTATGTTATGTGCCTTAACATGTACTGTGGAGACAGGTTCTGCTCAAACCAGCTCTGGTGCTGGTACAAATTAATCTTGTAGGTGTGTGAACATTCAGTAGTTTAGACAGGCTCTATATGTACGTGTGCTGTTTCCTGATTTATGATGACTGTGGTTTAGGTAATTAAATTTCTAATCATAATCATACTATTCCAGACTGGAGTCAAACCCCAACAAGCCAGTCCCAGTAAAACTGGTGAGACACAAATCCCATCTGCACAAGCTGTTGTGAAACGAACTGACAAGAAAGTGCGCCTGTCAACATCAGATGGAAAACAGTCAATGCTAACACTTGCCATGGACACTACATTCAAAGAGCTTCAAAACCTGATAGAGAAGGAGCTTGGCATTCCACCACAGGAACTCAGGATTAGGTAAGAACTATGCAACCTGTTATCATTTGATTTAGTGCCCTACTTCCAGTAAGTGTTCCCTTCAGTTAAATGCCGCCTCCCTCAGTTTGAAGGTTTTCTTGTATTAAGCGCCCTTTTTAAATATTACACCTTGGGCCCTGTGGTGCAAAGAGTGGATGACGCTATCCCCCTTAATAAATTGCTATTCAATAAATAAGCGTTGGCAAAACATGCTATGTTATCTATTGGTTAGCAATTTATCCAGTGGATAATGATATCCACCCTTTGAATAACTGGAACCTAGGTGGCAATTATTCGCATTTTCCCCCACCTTGTCCAGTTGATAGTTTAGTTTTGAATGTAACAAATATTTCTTTTGTTATATAAGTTAATCTAAAACCATCGCAACAAGTTAACAACTGCATCCTGGTGTATGGAAGATGGGTGCCTGGGATATCCAGGGGCCTCCACTGTGACCAGTCAGCCCCTAGACAGTGTAACGCTCCCATGGTTGGCAATTTCCGCAACCCAGCCATGAGCCCCCACACAGTCTTCCAGGTACCTGTCACACTGAGTTAACAGTGGAGACAGGGAGGGGAGGGGGGAGCAGAAAGATGTTGATGAATAGACCAACTCAACTGTTCCAATGACCGCCACGGTGGAACATGCTAGTACAATGGCGAAGAGCACTGAGCATGCAGTACCATATGTATACCACTGCCTGGAAGCACTAGCTACTCTCTGTTGTTAACTTTGTTAAACTGCATTTAACAACATTTAAAAATGATACAAATGTAGAATGTAAGGTACTTTCATAAACACCTGTTTGTGGTTATGATTTGCAAATGCTCTGATTCACTTTTTCCAGCTGCTTTTGCTGTGATTTATCAGGCTATGCAACTGACCACAGTGTGTAATGAACTGTTCTTAGACTTATTGCCTTAGACTGGTTTCAGACAGTTTCCAGCAGCCAGTGGAAATTGCAAGCCCACAGACATATAGAAATTAACATTGTAACATCGCTGAACTGGTCTGATTGGTTCCCTTTAGTTAGTAGTCCGAATTTTGCAATATGGATCATGAAGATGGACCACTCATGAATTAATTTTGGCAAATTGCCTTTTCGATTCATTGCATGAAAATAAACAGTTTTTTGTTTAGAAGATGAAGTATTTTTGCCTTCATATCAGCAGATTAAAAAGAACCATGACAAAAAGTACCTTATTGAACTAGCTTTTTAGGTCCTTATTGAAAAATGTTCATCTGGTTCTCCTTTTTTGCAAGTTTATAGACATAGCCTGTGGCTTGGCCTGTAAACCTGCAAAAAAAACAGAAATTGTCCATTATTTCTTCAATACTAACTTCGCTGTAGTTCAATAACACACATATATGATAATTATACTCTTGGCTTTACTTTACATTTCTGAACAGTGTACCCAGTACCGCAGCAGCAGCAGCAGCAGCAGCAGCAGCAGCAACAGCTACAAGTAATGTACCACAATTGACCTACAAACAGCTTGAAGAGCACATCAACAAGGTAATAAATTGATGAGGTTCTTTAAAAGTACTGTGTTACATTTGCAGGCATGGTGTACATGAGGTAAACAATTTTCTTCAGTTACAAGTTGATATAGGTGAATTAACTCCATCAGTAGGTGAAAGGTTGAGTCTATGTTTGACCAAAGTCTCCCACACTGTTACCAGAGCTTATCCTAGTCTCTGTAGAACGAAGTGACTAGTTCTGTAGGATTTCTATCACCTGGCTGTGGATGGGTGTCTAGTCCATTGCAGTGTTACCCCTCAGGGTTAAATTTATTTGACTGGTACCTTTTCATACACCTGGGTGGAGAGAGGTATTATAAGAGAAAAATATCTTGACAAGAACGTAATGTAGTTACCTGGCAAAGGGTTATTTAGGGCACAGGGGTTTCCTTAGGTAATTTGCTGAAGGTAATAAATTTAAAGGTAACCCCCATGGAACATTTGGAAAGTGTTCACCATTTTACAATCTCTCAATATTTAACTTTAATATTTTAACTTAATATTTTAACTTTTATTTATTATAGTTAGGAATTTTTAGGAATTTCTAAATCATTGTTACTATATATATATATATATATATATATATATATATATATATATATA